GTCCTCGGGCTCGGGCTTGTGCATCGTCGACTTCGTGTAGATGATCATCGGGTCTCGTATACCTATGGATCTTCTACTGAATATCTCAAACACCCTCTTCAACTTGTACTGGTGGAACATGTTTAATATAAATTTGATGGGCAAGGGATAACCGAGCTACCCGACTCGGGTCGATCTCGAAGGAAGACTATTCGGAGCTTTGTCTACTAAATGATTGTCCAAATCACAAAAATCGAAATAAAATCTTAAACATTCTAAACAATTGATTGGATGGTTGATTAACACTAAACGAGCACTTAAAAACGAGCAAACAACTAGAAGCAAGATCAAAAGACGAGCAATTCGCAAACTAGATCACCGGAGTCTCATGTCATAACCAATACGGGACTATAATCAATCGACATACGGAATAAACGAGCTACGAGCATTAGATTGCTAACCCTAGTTGTCTAACCGAGATCAACAAGCAATTAACGGCTCTATCTACTCAAGCAAGCAATCAAGTTCAAGCATTTCCACCATCATCAATCAAACCCAATTTACTCTAATAAACATTATAAGTAAAACCGGAGCAAAAACAAAGTAAAGAGCTTTAAAATTAAATAATCAATCTCCCATTGCGTAGACGATGAAAAATGGAGTCAAAAGCTCGAAACTTGAACGAAACCGAAGTCGCCGGAAAATCTCCCGGAAAATAGCATAAACTCCTAATCTAAAGAGCAAACATGAACATAAGCTAGTTTCCCAAAGTGGAAAAATGAAAAATGAGAGAATGATCCCCAAAATGCAAAGGAACAAAAATATTTATAGTCTCCCCAAAACACACACTAAAAAATGCAGTTTAAAATGGGACACTCCCGAGCTAGCTGTGAAATCCACGAGCACGCGAGTCTTCACACACGGCGTGCATGGGAAATGGGGCTCTCGACCTCGCCAAGATTCTCGCGAGCTCGCGAGTAATGGGCAGGCACACGCGGCGCTCTCGACCTCGCCGTAGCTTCCGCAGGCACGCGAGCGTGCGATGTGCTGAGCGCTTGGCGAGGAGCTCTCGATGTCGCGGGGACTTCCGCGTGCACGCGAGCGTGCAATGTGCTGAGCGCTTGGCTCTCGATGTCGCGGGGACGAGCGCGAGCTCGCGGCGTGTGCGATGGGCGTGCGGGGCTGCAACGTGCGCGAGTACTGGGCTGCATGCGTCCGGGCTCGACTAAGGGCTCGACATACTCGACCGGGAATTGTTCGCACGAATGACTCGAAAATGCTCGTCTCTTGGGATTCGTTATGACTCGTCTTTAACCCTCGGGAAAATCCTGAAAATATACCAAGAGCACGGAAAAGTACGCCAAAATATAAAATGAAACAAAAAACACAAAACACTCGGAAAATGATAAAATGGACCGGTCGAACCTAAAACGAACCTAAAACCGACTCAAAATCATATATAAACACATAAAAATAAGCACAAAAACATAACAAACAACTCCCCCACACTTAGCTTTTTGCTTGTCCTCAAGCAAACAAAATAACAAGTAGCTCGAAGGGATATATCAAACGGTCCAAAATTAACAAACATGCGAAATGAAACTCTCATTATCATTCGGTTATCCCAAAATCGAAATCCAATCCGAGATACGATCCTCTCATAATGAAACAAACGAAACAAAAACCCGTCCCATGCCATTCCACAAGTGATCGCTCGAGTCAAACCCCCTTATTCACATATACGTGCAAAAACCATAAATGATCTACAAAACATAAAATAATAAGCACGAGAT